AGTTCGCACCTGCAGGACACGCTTGCAGCTGCACATGCACAGAACAAAATGAACTCAATTCACAAGCAAGCGCGCATAGGCGCAGCAACGCGACCGAATTGAACGAGCTGCGATGACAGCAGAGTGAGTCGCCGGTGCGGCGCCAGACTTCCTGCTAGGGTGCGGAAGCGAGGGCGAGCGACCAACACTCACAAACTGCGGTACCATGCGATAGATGGTGAGGCAAAAGAGGCCCGCCTCATCAAACTCACTGACGCTACAAGGTAGCTGGACCGCGTCGAAGCCTTTCAGCAGACGAACCACTGGTGTGCATTCACGAGGTTGACCACCTCAGCCGAAGCCAGCGCGCGCACACCGTATCCGACACACGCAGTTCGGGGGCATAACGATGAAGTACTGACACAAGCTGTGCAGATTGCTCTGCAAAGGGAACGACCGCGAACTGCTGAAGGCTGAACCACTCAATGCGGGGCCGCTCCTAGGGCGAGGCCAGGTATCGGGCGTCGCCCGGCGCATGGCTGCCGGCAGCGCCCGACGCCTGCCTGCCGGAGCCAGCGCGCGCGCATCATCCCCGACACACGCCGCACGGGGGCGCAACGATGCGAAGCACCGTCGGGCTGGTGCCCAGGGCTGCGCTGAAGAGGCGGCCACGGTCTGCAGGCTGAACCATTCACTGCGGGGTCGCACTCTCCAATGGGGTGGCTGAACTGAGCGCCAACCGGTAGAGTAGACCACTGGTGCGCGTTCATGGGGTGAGCCATCTCCAGCCGGTAGCCAGCGAATGCACATCGCACGCGATTCGCGCAGTTCGGGGGCACAACGATGCGAGCACTGAAGAGGTGGAGGCCTGGGCTGCTAAAATCTGCGCCAAGAAATGCTACACGACCTTGAACCGCGGAAGGCTGAACCACTCGATGCGGGGCCGCAAACTTGACGAAGCCACAGCCACAGCCACAGCCACAGCCACTCCCCACCACCGCGCCAACTGAGCAGCAGCCATGTCACCGCTGCCAGGGCATATAGATGGTTTCCAGCTGTCGAGCTGCGGGCACGCTGGCCACTGGCAGCGCGCCGTCAAACCACAGCTCCCTTGTAGAAGAAAGGTGGTTGGGCCGGCGACGAGGGTCGGAGACCCCTCGGGGGGGGTACCAGGGCGGGCGCTCATCAAAGGCCGCGGCAGACTTCCCAGCTGATGGTGGGGCGCGCAGCCGAAAGCCCCATTGATTGTGGAGGAGGGAGGGGGAGGAGGAGGAGGAGGAGGAGGAGGAGAAGGAGGAGGAGGAGGCGGCCGAACTGCAGGGATGCGCCGGTCGCAGGCTGCTCGCTGACGCGCCAGGGTGACCTCTGAGGAAACCTTCGTCTGCTCCTCAGCGTCTGACGCCAACCTTGTCAACGGGGGGGCGCAGCCGAAAGCCGCAGAGACGCGGCAAATAATGTGACGAGAAGTGGGGGCGCAGCCGAAAGCCGCAGATCACGGAAGACAATGCACAGAGCGTCCACGCACGGAACTTCATGACCACAGAGGAGCGGGGCTGAGCACGGGCGGCGCGGTAGGAGATCTCGCCCACCAACCGCAGTCGCACACTGAGAAGAGAGGTGGGGGGCGCAGCCGAAGGCCGCAGATCACGGGCATCAATACACAGAGCATCCATATAGAGAACTTCGTGACCACGGGGGTCTGCGGCCATTTCCACAGCGGCCTCAGTCCACGAGCTCAACAGGGCTGCTCGAGGCAAAGGGCCGGTTGAGGACCATGGGGCTGCCAACCCAGCGAGCTCCAACGGGCGCGCATGGCCCCAGACGGCCCACAAGGTAAGCGCAATGGACACCACCTTGCACAAGGAGGTGGAGGTCACGCCCAGCTGAACCAGATCATCGTTGTCCAGGAAGCAAGCTCTGCGGTCCATGACAGGCCGCGTCGCGACCCTGAGTACTGAAATGGTCCAGAGCACCAATGGTAGACTCGAGCCGCAGACGGGCTGCACGCATGAGCCCTCAACTATCCGGGCGGAGCAAAGGCGGTGGGCAAGAGTAGAAGAGAGGTGGGGGCGCAGCCGAAAGTCGCAGAACACGGATATCAACACGTAGAACAACCATGTACAGAACTTCATGTCCACGGGGGGGCGGGGCTGAGGAAGGGCGGCGCAGTGGGCGACGTCGCCCACCTCCGCCGACTTGCATTGTAGATGTGGAACACAGGGGATGGGTTATTTCAGCCATCCGCCACTGCTGTCCAAAGGAGGGGCTGCCCTAAGTAAGTGGCACAGTCGACCCCATCGAGTCTACGGGTGATCTCCTCTCGGGGAATAGCGCTTGCCCTTCGCCTTCCAGTCAGCGTCGGTCGAGGAAGAACCTTCGCGCCCCCCAGTGCCCCACGACTGCCATCCGCGCCACGACGAGGCAGAGTTTGGTGCACCAGTCCACTGATCTGGACGGGGCGCACGCGCCGCCTCTTTGCCTGCTACGGACCAAGGGGGTGGGCGGCCACTGCTGTCAAACCCTCGAGCGGCGCGTGGCTTGGCGACTCGTTGAAAGAGCCTGCAGTGACGATCCTTGACACCCAGCCGGTCAACTTCGAGTTTGCACTCCCTGTCCACCTTATAGGCATCGAAATTCGCCTTGCTCCAAGCCTGAAGGAATTCGCTGCGCTGCTGCACAGAGTTCAGCTTGGGATCCAGTTTGGTAAAGTGGCCCCCTCGCCTCAACGCTGCCTTCTTGACCCAGGCGCCCCAAACTACGTTGAACGCACCCCCCAGCGTTTTCTGCACACGTGAGATGTTGTCGGGTGCTGGCTCGTCTTTTGAGACGTCCGCTTTGTCAACTGGACACATGTACATGGGGATGCCTCCCATGGGGTCGTCGTGCTGCTCTACAGGTGGCTGTATTCTCCGCGCGTCGTCCTGGGAGGCCTGCGCGGCGCGCGGAGGCGCGAGGCCTGGGTGGCGCGCGCATGGGGGAGGGGTGGCCGAGCGTTCCCTGGCCCTGTTCTCTTCGATCACTGGTGGTCGCTGGTTGCTGCCGCCATCCGTAGGTCTCAGAGACCTGTTGTCCCGGGCCTCGTCCAAATTCCAAATCCGCATGTCCCTGCTACGAGGGTTGCCTGGGGCGTTCCTTTCTCTGACTGCCTTCCTGAAGGCAGCCTGCTCGCATGGGGGCCAGACTTCAGAGTCGCTCCTTTCGGGAGCTGTTTCCCAGAGCTGGAGGGGATCAGGGATGACGGTGTCGCCCTCAGGAGCCGCTGCGTCAGTAAAGTCGTCGTCGGGGTTGGTGGAGCTGACGCGCGAGTCGGAGCCCACGGAGATGTCATCGCTGGATCGCGCGTAGCCTTCTGGCTCGGATCTTCTGCCCCCCTCTTCTCCCCAGTCAACCCCTTCCACGTCACCTTCACACCTGCACGGGCCTGGCGGGATTTGTCCCTCAGTCTGGGGGACAGAGGTCCCGTCGGCCTCGGCCAGCTGCCGGGGTGGCGCGACAGCGCGGTCCAAGGATGCGCATTGGGCCTCCATTCGGAGTCCCGCCGCGGGAAATTCCTTACTGCTGGTGTTCATGTTGATCCAGCTAGCAGCTGGTGACTCATCCCCGCCAGAGCTGCTGGCTGCCGTCCCGAGGGGCAGGGCTGCGAGGTGATTGATGGTGCCCCTGGCCAAGTCGGAATCTTCCAGCCTTTTAGGAAGGTCATGAGAACGTGAAACGGCTGACGGAAGGGGCACTGCCTCTTCTGGTCGGTGAGGCTGTCTGCATAGCGTTCCCACTCTTCTTTGTACTTCTGGCTATTGCCCGCCAGGTGTGTGACTACCCTGGCTGCTGCAGCGCGCTGTCCATCCCATGTGACACGCGGGGGGTGTCCTTTCTCTGGGATTGCCTTTGCGTACACCGCTTCGATAAAGGGGAGTAGCCGCTCCGTCGGCCAACTCGTCTCGTCAATTTTGTCCCCTTTGATATCCTCGCCTTGCTGCTGAGCGTAGGTGGCCCAACGTTTGTAGATTGTGTCGTTCCACTCGATCGCGTACTTGACCAGGGCGTGGACAGGGCCATCCGACTCCACCCCTGCGAGACGATAGGTGGAGAGCGTGGGCAAGTAGGGGCACAACGGTGGGGGCACTGTGGGGAAGGAGTCTCCGCTGCTGCTGGAGGCCCTCCCATCTGCTCCCGGTTGGCCGTCTGGGTCACTGGTCTCCATGTCATGTGGGGGCGCTTCCTCGCCGCGAGGCGTGGGTCGTGTGAATGCGTCATTTACCCGACGCAGTGATCCCTGTCGGGGAGAGGTGTGCGCACATGTCGTAGCTGTTTTCTGGCACCTCCGCTGTTGTCTTCCGCTTAGTGGGAGCGGTGGGGTATACCTCGGAAGAGTGGTGGTCAAGGATGTGGTCGAGGACGCCTGGTGCCACGTTCCATATGTGGTTGAGGCATTTCCTGCAGGCCCATCCCGCGTTCCACTGCTGCCTGGTCCAGAGCGTGGGCATCATGTCCCACGAGGGCAGGCCTGTCTGCTCGTTGCACTGCGCCTCTGGCTCAGGGCGCCACATAAAACATCTGAGAGCGGGGCGTCCAACTTCCCAGACAAGCAGAGGAGACCCCGGGGGGGACAGGTGTCGCACGCTGCCGTGAACAAGTTCGTCCTGTGTGAGTCAGACCCAAACCTGCCGTCCGACAGTCTGTGGGCTGGGAGGGTGGTGCCGACTTTCGGTGGCTGGAATGCCGGAGGTGTGCACATGACAAGATCCTTCAGGGTAGAAGGAATTGGAGCGCTGTTTGCTCGTCCGCACCCGATTGGTAGCCTGGCCAGATCGGAGAGGGGCCGAGCTTTCTTGCAAAAGCGTGCCTCTTCCAGCCTGCGTTTGTACGCCTGGAGGCGCTGCTGCAGGGACCTCTTCGTGCCACCGTCCATGTGGGTGGGGATGGGAACCTCGACACCTTTACATGGGGTGGGGCTGATGGGGACACGCGAAGCGTCAAAAATCAGGACCTGCGTCACCGAGAAAGGTGCCGGGGAAGCTCGCCTGGCTCAGCACGACCCACTGGCTGTGCTTCACGAGAGCAGCCGTACGACCCGGGCCTCGGGGCGCATCGCCGCGGGACCGACGACAGCGAGCGAGCTCTATCTGCCTTGCTGGTATCACACTCTGGGCCAAGGCTGCCAAACGCGATCAAGAGGCTGTCCTACCTGTCCGCGCCACTGAGGGGGCCAAGGGGTCACCTGGGCATCGATAGGGGTGCTCTGCTAGGGTCACCTCTGGCAGCACCCTGTCGTGGGCAATCGAGCTCCGATCTGCGTCGCCAAAAACTCCCTCCTGTCTGCACGCGCCTCGGAACGAGGCACCTTGTCCACCGTCGACAGATCACATTTCCACGCCCACCGACTGGGTGTTTGCGAATATGTGCGTGTTAGCACCGAGTCACCACGATGCCGTTAAAGTTACGACCTGAAACAAGCCGCAATGGATAGGCCGATGACCCAAATCCCTGACGTCATGATTTGCTTATACCGTGAACCCCCAAAAGTCTCGATCCCTTCCCTGCGACCGGTTTTTCATTCAGAATCGATGTTTGACGGTCCCTGGACACGGCGAGGGCCCCTAGAGCCGAAAGTCCCCCAACAAAAAAAACAGTCATGAATTTTCGCGACGACAAGGGGTCTGGGTACATGGATCAGGCGAACCGGGCGATTCTACTCCGTCTGCAAATATTGGCCATCTTAGGCAAGGTCTGCGCTTGTTGCTGAGCCAGAGCCACTCGGACCGCGGCTCGATGCAGATGTCCTGCGCTCACGAGCATGCTTGGCACCCCGCCACTCTCTGAATGTAACACTCCTCCCTTCAGTATGTGTTTCCTCTTACTCGCCCTATTCTCACAGGTGCGGCACTGAACCCAGCCCTCTGGGCCATGTGGCCTGCGGTAGACCCCCGAAGCTCCTTTCCTAAGTCCCAGAAATTCCTCCGACCCCTCAGGGAGTTACCCTACCAGCTCTCCGGGTTCCCTCTTCGGCCCCTGCACAATGTAATGCCCCCCCGAGTCCGCCTCGCATACAGAACGATCTCGACAAACAAACAATGCAAGAGCGTGTGCTTGGCCAGTTTGAACTTCCAAGACGTTTCAACAAAAGGGGGGACAACGTCCAGCAGATCGTCCCCTTATCCCTTAAGCGGCTCAAAGACGACCCGAGAGGCTTCTGTAAGGCTCTCAACAGTCAGAACTGCCCCCTACCGAAAGGCCTCAAGAAGCCCCCATTACACCTCCCAGGCGGCCTGAGAAGTCCCTGAGACGGCCCAGTTTGCCACCTCCACCCATATTCACCCTTACCCTCCCTCCCTCCTGCCCCCACTAAACTCCACCTTCTCCACAATCATAATCACCATCATCATCATCATCATCATCATCATCATCATCATCATCATCATCATCATCATCATCATCATCATCATCATCATCATCATCATCATCGTTATCATCATCAACAACAACAAGTTTAAGACTGTTCCGTCTTATCTGCTCGCGGGCCATTCAACACGTATACCCGAAACCCTCGATGCCCGCCATCTTCGTCTTCGATCGTACCCCTTTGGGGGTATCCTTCTTACCTGCAACGTGAATTTCGTGCAGCCCCTAACGCAGGGGAGGACAGGATGGATGGAAGGAAGGGGCACGGGGGAAGGAGGAGGATAGAGGGGGGAAGGAGGAGGATAGAGCACGAGAGAGCGTAGCAGGCGGCAGGCTATGAGCAGAAAACACGTGGCAGAACCAGACGGGCCGATCGGGCGGGTAAACATTAACAGGCGGGTTGAAGGCGGACCCAAGCGGCCAGGTCGAGCAGGCGGGTTGCTGAAGCGTGCGTTCTGCATAAATCGCGAAAAAGTTTCGAACGATAGCGCGACTTACAAATAAATCGTGAGAAATCCACAGCATCATCGTGATTCCTGAGTGTCGAGGACGCGGCGTCTACATAAATTGCGAGGAGGTCCCACGCGAGAGCGCGATTCTTGCATACATTGTGAGGAAGTTCCGCGCGATAACGCGACTTGGAAATAAATCGTGGGGAAACATCAGGCGGGGGCCGTTGTTGTTGTTGTTGTGAACAGCGGGGCAAGAAACAGTTTGGTAACACATCACTTTCCCTTGTAAAACGCCCGGTGCCAGCCCCGGGAGGAGCAAAATGCAATGATTACCGGAAGAGGGGATCCACAATGATTACCTCTGAGGACTGAAAGATCAACAACAACAAGAACAACAAAAACAACCACGACAACGACGACGACCATAACAACAACAACAACAACAACAACAACAACAACAACAACAACAACAACAACAACAACAACAACAACAATCACGACGACGACGACGACGACGACGACAACGACAACGACAACGACAACGACAAGAACAACAACCACAACCACAACCACAACAACAACAGCAGCCGCAGCAGCAGCAACAACAACAAGGGAACAAAGACACAAAAGACCTACGGCAATTTGAACCGAAACGATGCGAGCCGTTCGCACGTTTCCGTAATAATATCTCCTACGTACAAAAAATACTTAACCTTAGCACGGAATCGAGAATGAGGAATCCTTACTAAGGAATCCTTGAATAAGGAACCATCTAATAAGGAACCCTTAGCAGTGAGTCCTTGATAAGAAATCCCACACGAAAAGACATGGAAAGGAACCCATTCGTAAAGAAGTCTTCGTTCGGAATCTTTAGTAAGGAGCCTTTTTGAACCAGGAATCCCGAAAAAAAGGAACCCATTAGTAAGGAATCCTGACTAAGGAATCATGAATCATAAATCCTGTGCAATGAATCCATGATAATGACCTCGGCAATAAGGAATCCTGAAGGAGGGAAAACAAAACAAAAGAACGGTATAGGGAATCATTCGTAAGGAGACCTCCCTGAAGAATCCTGCCTGAGGAAACCTCACCAAGGAATCCTTCCTAGAAAAAGGAACATTGAATAAAGTATCCGCAGCATGAACCCCTGAGTGGGCACGACTTTTTGCAAGGATTGTCCCCCAGGAATGATTGGCAAGAATCCTTATGTAAACAACTCTTAATCAGGGATACGTACTAAAAATCCTGAAGGGGCACTCATGTGTGTGAGGAATCCCCACGATGGTCCTTGGGAAGGCTGCCTGCATGAATGAGAAATCCTTAATACTGAATTTTTGGTACGAAACCCAGAACAAGGAATCCTCAATGATGAATCCGCAGCAAGGAGCCCGCAAGAAAGAACCTTGAATGGAGATTCCTAGCTAAGTAATCCGTAGGTAAGCCCCGTTAGTAAGAAATCCTGAGCAGGGAACCGTGCGTAAAAGATCAGCATTACAAAAAAACTTATGTTGCCAAGGAACCCTTGATAAAGAATTCCTTCGTAGGGAAGCGTTAATAGAGAATTCGGAAAAGGGAACCATTAGTAAAGAAACCTGACTAAAGAATCCTTAATGCTAAACCTTTCCTAATAAATCCACGGCAAAGAATCCGCAATAAGGATTCCTGCATAAGGGATCATGGGTAAGGAGTCCTGAAAAATCATGGATAAGGAATCGGTAGTAAAGAATCCTTAGTAAGGGCTCCTGAACGAGGAATCCTTCGTAGGCAATGCCTGGTGAGGAATCCTTACTACGGAGTCATCCACGGTAAGGGGCCCCAAAGTAAGGGCTCATTGAAAATAAAGAAACTTGTTTGTCGGGGATCCTGAGTAGAGAGCCCTTACTAAGGAATCGTTGATAAAGAGTCCTGAATGAAGAAAATGTACCTAAGGAACAATCCTCCGTGCAGAACCCTTATTAAGGAATCCGTATTCATGGATCATTATAAAGAACCCTTCGGATGCAATCCTTACTTGGGAATCCTGAATGGGGAACCCTTCGAAAGGAATCCTTGCAACGACATCTTCAGTAAGAACCAAATCCTTAATAAGAAGCCCTTAGAAAGGACTACTCTGAATAAAAAATCCTTAATCAGGAGTCTTCGAAAGGAACACTTGTTGTAAGGGGTCCTTGACCAGGAGCATTGAATGAGGGATCCGTACTGGAGGTTTTTTCATGAGGAACCCTTCATGGGGCACTTAGTAAGGATTCATGGGTGGAAAACCCTAAATAAGGTATCTTGAAAAAGGGATCATTATCAAAGAATCCTTCATAAGGAGTCCTTAGTAAGGGGCCCGGGGCTGGGGGCCAACACTCACACAGTCAGCATAGCGTTCTCTCATGGCACGGGGCCCCTTACTCGTGGAATAGAATGTGACAGGGACACCTCGCCTGCTCCTTCTCCCCGCTCGGCGACCGCGGAAGATCCAAGTATGACGGACGAGGCGGGGCCAAGGATCGCGGAAGATAGAAACACGATGGGGGGAGTGGGCCCGAACGAAGCGACAACGGAAGATAAAATAATTAGAATGCCGTGAGCGAACGCGCGCACAGTCATTGCGCATCGGAGCCATCATGGGGCTCGATTCGGCCCTCGTGGAGCCCCAAGCGAGTCCCAACACGGCTCCTCTGCGATAACGCAAAATCAGACGATCTTCGAAACATTTTGATTCCCAAGGAACCACAAACATTCCGCAAACCTTTGTGATTCCGAGGGAACCACAAACATTTCGCAAATCCTTCTGATTCTCGAGGAATGACAAAGATTCAAAGAATCAAAGATTCCCAGCGCGGCCCTTCGCGGTAATCGCTGTGACAGCCCCGCTTGCGGTCACGAAGATTGCCACGGAAAGCCGCGCTGGGGATCATTGAATATGTGCGACCCCCAGGGCACCACAAAGATTTGCGAAATGTATGCGGTTCACTGGTTTCCACAAGGATTTCAAGATTCCCAGCGCGGATCTTCGCGGCAGTTTTTGTGACGGCCCCGCGTGTGATCACAAGGTTGTCGCGAAAAGCCGCGCTGGGAATCGTTAGGTGTTTGTGATTCCTAGGGAACCACAACGATTGGCGAAAAGTTTACAATCCCCTGGGAATCACAGAGATTCGACGATCCCACTGCCACCTTTGTGATCGCAAACCCGGCCGTCGCCAAAATGACGACGAAGAGCCGCGATGGGAGCGTTTGAATGCTTGTGATTCTCTCGGCGGCCCAACACCCCTTCAATCTGCACAGTTCGCCACGGACGGTTTCAAGTCGATCGTTTTCCAGAAACTGCCTGGGAACACATAGGTCCCCAGTCTACTTGTTGCCAACAACAGTAACAATCATTTCAAGACTGATCGCTTTCATCTGCTTGCGGGCCACTCAACGAGTACATCCCAACCCGTTGATACCCCCCTTTTTCGTTTTCGATCGAACCCGCTCGGGGGTAAATATCTCCTCTACCTGCAACGCCTATCCCGCGCAGCCCCTGAGACAAGGGAACACACGACGGACGGAATGGGCAGGGGGGCGGGGGCACGGGTTTGCCGAAATGCGCGCCGAATCTGATCTCGACGCGACAATAATCTGAGACTGAGGGTCCGTGAACCCGTTGTCGTTATTCTCTTGCCCAAGCGCGAGGCTGCGTCAGTCTCTCATAGCCACAGGCCAGCATGCGCAGCGCGTCTCCAAACAGCCTCGCGTAAAACAAATGTGTTTGTGGACTCCAGAAGCAAGCTATGTGGAGCTCGAAAGGCTAGGGCACCGCCCAAAAGGCGGCGCAAAGGGCCCCTGGAACCAGTGGCCAAGAGCAGCAGCAGTTGAAATGGAAATCGGCTCACCAGAAACACGTTTCACACAGGAGGTTTCACACGTGCTGCTTCTAGTCCGCGAAGGACCTCGGGATGAACAGAAAATCACCGCTGCGAAAATGGCGCGTCACTCCTGTAACTCGCGCCGTCTTCCGCAGACTGCGTCAGCCAAGCGGTCTGTACAAATATACAAATACATAGACATAGATTTAGGCGTCGAAAAAGCAAAGGTATATACACCTACATCTACGTATACATATACATGTCAAAATGTGCATATACGTCTACACCTACATATACATAGACATATGCATATACAAATACATCGATATATACATATATGTATATATAAATTTCTACACATACGCATACATATACATATACATATACATGCACTGATACATATACATATGCGTATACATATACATACAGATATACATAGGAATATCCATATACGTATACATGTACGTAGACATCTACACATACATATCCATAGACATACACATACACATATGTGTACATATCATACATGCACATGTGCATGTACACATACACAGTGGCATGTACGTGTACACATACATAAACAATTCATAATACATATGCATACACTTTTACACCGAATCATGCATATACACATACACACATATACATGTACATATACACATGCATATTTAGGTACACATACACATACGTATACATGACATCTGTACATACATGTGCACATATGCATACACATACTTTTTTGGTCGGCGGCCGCGACGACGGTCCGGCGGCAACAGGCGTGTCCGGGACGACGGAACAGGCAAATTCCACACAAGGCGTGCGGCGCACGTGCACTGAGCAAAATGCTCCACATTCGAGCAGAGACGCACCTAGGCGCCGCCCGGTCCAAAAGAACGAGCGCATGCATACACATACGCGTACGCACATGCAATTACGAATGCATATACATGTACGTACAATATACATTTGCATGTCCATACACAATCGTACATACACACAAAAATGTACATATACCTATGCGAAAACATAAACATAAACATAAACATAATCGTAAACACAGACATGTACATGTACATACGCATACACCTGTACATATGCACATATAGATATACACACATATACATAGACATGTACGTAAACGTGTACATGTACATATACACATCAATTAACATAAACATTGGATTGGAATTACACATAAACATATACATAAACACATTCAGATGCACATACATAAACATATGCAGATGCGTCTACACAAATACATACACATGTACAATTTAATACAGAACTGCATATCTATGAATGTATAAAGTTAAACCAGATAAAGATAAGTATATGTGTACATGCACATCTAATGATATAAATCTACATATACAGAGCATCTACACATGCAAACACATACACATACACAAACATAAATACAACACACACACATGCACATGCACGTCCATACATACACTGCATATCACCAGATAAAGATAAGTATATACATGCACATCTAATGAGAGATGATGCACATGCAATAGAGAGAGAGAGAGAGAGAGAGAGAGAGAGAGAGCGTGATCCACCGCCGCTTTACTGTGGAAAATTGCCAACCTTTTCCTCCGGAACCCGGGGGTCGCCCCCCCCCCCCTCCGAAAATCCCCCCCCCCTGCTGGAACCCCTCCCCCCCCCCCACCCCTTCCCCCGGCAAAACCCCCCCCCTCCCCTAACCCCCCCCCCCCCCCCCCCCCCTCCCGCTCGAAAACCGGGGGGGGTCACTACCGGTTCGAACCCCTCCCCCCCCCCCCCCACTCCGGATCCGGAAAACCGGGAGGGGGTCACTACCGGTTCGAACCCCTCCCCCCCCCCCCCCCTACCCTTCGGATCCGGAAAACCGGAGGGGGTCACTACCGGTTCGAACCCCCCCCCCCCCCCCTCTGCTCACCGCCAGCAAACGACTCCCGGTCCCCACCACCGTCCGCATCACATCCCCCACTGGTGTTCCCAGCACCACTGTCCTCACCACCACTGTCCCCACTGGTTCCACCACCGCCCCTACTGTCCCCACCAGTGGCCCCACCACTGTCGCACTGTCCCCGCTGTCCCCAGAACTGTTCCCACCACGGTTCCACTCTCCCCACTGTCTCCACGGCCCCAACCACTGCCCGACTATCCCCACTGTCCCCACTGTCCCACTGACTCCTCCGCTGTCCCACTGAGCTGTCCCACTGTTCCCACCACTGTCCCCACTGTCCCCACCACTGTCCCCACTGTACCTTTGTCCCATTGTCCCACCGCCGTCCTCGCCACCGCCTTCACCACTGTCCCCACCACCATTGTACCCTCCACTGTCCCACTGTTTCCACCTCATTCCCATTGTCCCCACACCACTGTCCCCACCACCACCGTCACCACCACTGTCCACTGTCCCCCCCTGTTCCCACCATTGTCCCCACCACTGTCCCCACCACTACCGTCCCCACCACTGTCCCACTGTCCCACTGTCCCCACCACTGTCCCGCTATCCCCTCACCACTGTCCCCACCAACACCGTCCCCACCACTGTCCGCACCCCCACTCGGTTTTCGAGGGGGGGGGGGGTTCGAACCGGTAGTGACCCCCCCCGGTTTTTTCGAGGGGGGGGGGGGTTCGAACCGGTAGTGACCCCCCCCCCTTTTCATGATGAGCTGGGGGGGGGGGGGAGGGGTTCGAACCGGTAGTGACCCCCCCCGGTTTTCCGGAGGGGGGGGGGGGGGAGGGGTTCGAACGGGTAGTGACCCCCCCCGGTTTTCCGCCAGCAGCGGTAGAACACGCTCTTTCATATATATATATATATATATATATATATATATATATATGTGCACGCACGTATGCATACACATAGATCTTCATTAATACGCATACATACTGTTTTTTTGAGTCGCACGACTGACGCGTAAAAACTGCCCACGCACCGCGCCAAGTCTCTGGTCGCAGCGCCCGCCGCCACATCATCGAGCCGGAGGTGCGTTACACAGCTCCTCGGACTCTGGCGCGCCACCGTCTGCCACGTCCGGCAATGATGTTCCGTTATTCCCAAACGCCGCCTTGATGAGTACGGCGAAGTCCCGCTTGTTCTCAAATCAGCCTGAGCCCCGTTCTTTCCGCTTCTTGCCGCCCAACTGCTCGCCGTCCTCGACCAGCGCCCAGCCCCGCGTCTCCACGCGCAGCTCGATGGCTCCGAACGCCGCCGCCTCGGCAAGGCATTCCGCCAGGCTGGCCCTCGAGTGGCACCGACGCACAATGAGGCCCATCTCGTTGACACACTTCTCGATGGCCATCAGCTCCAATGCCACCCTCTTCTCCGCAAGGCTCATCTGCACCTGATTCGCCAAGCAGTCGTAGATGTTCTTCGCGACCTCGCACAGGCATGCCTTGACCTCCTTCACTTCATCGAGAATCGGCTTCACCTCACGCCCAACACGCGCCATCCCCGAAACCACATCGGAGACGACTCCACTCAGCTCGGCCCACGTGTCGCATCATCATCATCATCATCATCATCATCATCATCATCATCGTCATCATCATCATCATCATCATCATCATCAGCAGCATCATCATCATCATCACCATCATCATCATCATCATCATCATCATCATCATCATCATCATCATCATCATCATCATCATCATCATCATCCATCATCATCATCATCATCATCATCATCATCATCATCATCATCATCATCATCATCATGATCATCATCATCATCATCATCATCATCATCATCATCATCATCATCATCATCATCACAACATCATCATCATCATCATCATCATCATCATCAGCATCATCATCGTCATCATCATCATCATCATCATCATCATCATCATCAACATCATCATCATCAGCATCATCAGCATCATCATCATCATCATAATAATAATCCTCCTCCTCCTCCTCATGCTCCTCCTCCTCCTCCTCCTCCCTCCTCCTCCTCCTCCTCTTCCTCCTCCCCCACCCCACCCTCTCTCTCTCTCTCTCTCCGAGTACGGGTTCTGCGTCAGCGCATCGTAGACGAAGGCGAAGGGCTTGACAGGCAGGGTGGTGTCCGAAATAAAGACGAACCTGGCCGACGCGAGGGGGAGCCACAGTTCTATAGGAGAAGAACACAGGCAAGAACACAAACTTTCGGAGGTCGGTGCAGACTTTTTGGATCGGCGCTGGGCCCCCCTCGCTGGCGCGTGAAACCCGCCAGGGGGGTCCATCGCCGATCCACGAAAACCGCGCGGACCCCCCAAAATTCATGATGATTCCAAATTTTCTTCTGCGGTTCTGACGCACACGCTAACACGGATTAGGGATCCGTGGGTCTGGCGCGTGAAGCATGGCGTCAGTGCCGCCAAATTTGGCAACGGAGCGCGCCGAGTTGGCATGAAAACAAGACCCGTCGCTGATCCACTCGACTTGATCGATGTTCGCGGTTCCTCGACAATATCGGCCACGCGCATTGGGGGGTAGGGGGAGGGGGGAAAGCTTCTTAGCAGCACCCTGCTTCTTGGAAGGCGCGGGTCTCATCTGTAGATGTAGAGCAGGCGCCTTCTGAGGAGCAGCCTTCTTCCAAGAAGCCGTCCCCCCTCCACTCTGCCCCCCTTTGCGCGTGGCCGACATTCGACCAGAGCCAACGAGCTGCGGCGGGTGCCCCCGACCAGCTCGTGAGCCCGGGCCGCGCTGCCCCCGGCGGCGGGTGGCCACGGCATCGACACGACCGCCATGTCCAGCCAGACCGCCATGCTCCTCATCATCCTCCTCCTCAGACGTTCGTGTTCATCGCTCCGACGGGTGCCACAGCAACATCGCGGATCAAAAGGTCGCCAAGCAAGCCGGGAGCACTGCACAGGCCTGCCTGCAGTAGGCAAACTCGTGCTGTGAGCTGTGGCCTGGACCACCATTCGGCAATGCAGCAGCGACAGGAAGCACAGAGGGAGGAGAAGGGAGGAAGGACGAGCGTGAGGGAGGGGGAGGAGAAGCGAGGAGGGAGAGTGTTCATCCTTCTCACTGTCGTCATCATGATACTCACAACTCACAAGTACCACCATCACCACCACCGTCATGCTCCCCTTCGTCCTCTACTGCCGCCTCGCCGTCGGCGGAAGACCCCCCCGGCAGCCTCGCTCCAGGATGGGAGGCCGAGGCACCCAAGGCCACGCCCCCGGGGCCAGGAAGGGGCAGCAGCCTGGGGGTGCGGGAAGGGGGGAGGTCTCGGGGACTCTGGGATTCTGCGACTCCAGAACTCCCCTGAGATCTGACGTTGCCCAAACAACTCAGCACCATGAAAAATCGCGACGGGAGCCCCAGACCACCATCTTTCAGCGTCGTTTTTCAAGCCAGATCGTTCCGTGGGGGTCCCGGGGCCCGAAATCGGGCGAAAACGCCCGTTGTGAAAAAATTACAACGCCAGTATCTCAGAGTCTGGGACTCTAGGATTCTAGAACTCTGGGGCTCTGAGAATTCTGGGTCCTCCTCGCGCGCACGCCCACGCATCGGGGGCACGAGGCATGCGCAGAAGAGAAGAGGGCCACTGCCCACAACGGCGACGACGACGACGACGACGACGACAAACGACACAACGAGAACAGCGGACGAACGAACGCAGCGACGACGACGACGACGACGACGACGACGACGACGACTAACGACGACAACTAGGAAGAGGGAGGGCAGAGGGACGAAGGAGGCTTTTCAGTGCTGGTGGGCCCAAAGTGAGCCAAACAAAACAGAGCAGCCTGGCCCAGAAGGGAAGCGAGGAGGCCTCGCCCTGGAAAGCACCCCTGGAACCGGCTAAGATGGTGCTCTACTGGAGGGAAGAGGGGGGGAAAATGAGGAGGAGGGTGGACGGACGAATTACGGCAGACGAACGAGCGCAGCGACGTGAAGGACGACGACGACGACGACGACGAAAAGAGGAGGGGGAGGGGGAGGGGGAGGGGAAGGGGATGAAAAGCGAAGAGGGGGACTGAATTGTCACCTTGAAATTAAATATACCCTTGATTCGAGCGCTGCCCATCTCAACAAATTGCAGCTGCAGTGCACTACGGAATGCAGCTGAGCAAAGTACCTCGAAGTTCTCGGCACTCGCAAGCAAGATCTGACAATTCTCCCAGAAGGGGAGGGGGAGGATGACGGGAGGTAAAACTAACTCCCCTCCTCCCTCACGCTCAGGAGTCGTGGAGGCCTCCGAAACTGCCTTCGGGGAAGAAGATGCCGTGCAGGGCCGAGCTGTTTCAGTCGTCTAACAGGGCAATACAAAATCATACCCCGACTTCGGCCGAGATGGCTGGGAGGGAACGAGAACAAAGAGCACGAGAAAGAGGCGGAGGAGAGAAAAGAGAGAGGCGGAACAACAACCAAAAAAACACAAGCGAAACAACAACAACAACAACAACAACAACAACAACAACAACAACAACAACAACAACAACAACAACAACAACAACAACAACAACAACAACAACAACAACAACAACAACAACAACAACAACAACAACAACAACAACAACAACAACAACAACAACAACAACAACAACAACAACAACAACAACAAACAACACAACAACAACAACAACAACAACAATCATGTTAAGACTCTTCGCCCTTATCTGCTCAAGTGTCGAATAACGCGAATTTCCCAAACCCTCGATACCCGCCCTTTTCTTCTTCGATCGAATCCCTTTTTGGGGGTATACCTTTCTCCCCTGCAGGCCGGGCCCCGGCAAGCGGCGGGGCGGCCGCGGACCGTCGGCCTGGCCAACAGCAGCGCTGATCGGCGGAGCGGCCTCGGACCGTCGACCCGACCCCAAGAGGGACGGACAGGGGACCGACCACGACGACGACGACGACGACGTCGACGACGACGGCAACGACGGCGACGACGACGACGACGACGACGACGAGCGAAAGCGAGAGCGAGAGAGAACGACAGCAGAGCCACGAAGGACACGAAGTAGGCCACGAAGGGCGACAGCGGGGACACGAAGGGAATGCGTATGGGGCCACGAAGAGCGCGAGCGAGCGTGGGCCACGAAGGGCAGAAAATGCGGGGCCACAGAAGGCAACGATGGGGCCACTGAGGGTAGCACCTGGGCCACGTAGGACAATGAGGGGGCCACAAGCGGCGACAGCGGGGCCACGAAGGGCATGCACACGGGGCCACAGCGGGCGCGAACGAGCGGGGGCCACGAAGGGCATACGTATGTTGGGCCGCGGAGGGTACGGACGGGGCCACTTAGGGCAGCAACGGGGACACGAAAGGCAGCGAGGGGGCCACGAAGGGCGACAGCGGGGCCACGAAGGGCATGCATATGGGGCCACCACGGGCGCGAACGAGCGGGGGCCACGAAGGGCATACATATATGGGGCCACGAAACAAAGCGAGGGGGCCACGAAGGGCTGCAACGGGGCCACGAAGGGCAGCGAGGGGGCCACGAAGGGCTGCAACGGGGCCACGAAGGGCTGCAACGGGGCCACGAAACAAAGAGAGGGGGCCACGAAGGGCTGCAACGGGGCCACGAAGGGCAACGAGGAGGCCACGAGGGGCTGCAACGGGGCCACGAAACAAAGCGAGGTGGCCACGAAGGGCTGCAACGGGGCCACGAAACAAAGCGAGGGGGCCATGAAGGGCTGCAACGGAGCCACGAAGGGCAGCGAGATCCAGACTCCTAGGTAATATGTGAAGAAGTCCTAAGCGTGAGCGCGACTCCTGGGCGCCTGGGTGTCGGGAGCGCGGCGCTGGAGTGAATTGCAAGAAATTCCAACGCAAAGGCGCTATTATTTAGTAAATTGCAAGCACGTCTCCAGCGAGAGCGCGTCTCCAGAGCGCAGGACGAGCGATCTTGAATAAATCGTAAGGAAGTTCCAAGCGAGAGCGCGATTCTTGAATTAAAACGCGAGGAAATCTCGGGCGGGAGAGGGGGTCCTGGCCAACTTGTGAGGAAGTCTCAGGCGGGAGCCGTTGTTGTTGTAACCTTGGGGCCAGGGGGCCAGTCTGAGCAGGAAGACTTTCCTTAACAAAAAAAGTGCGAGCCCCGGGGGGGGGCACTTCAATTGAAAAAACAACGCGCACCGGTGTGGGGGGACCAACAATAATTATTACTCAAGAATGAGAGTTCAACAACAACAACAACAACAACAACAACAACAACAACAACCACAACAACAACAACAACAACAACAACAACAACAACAACAACAACAACAACAACAACAACAACAACAATCATTATAAGACTGCTCGCTCCTATCTGCCCGCGTGTCATTCACTATACACATCCCAGACCCTGGATACCCGCCCTCTTCGTCTTCGATCGTACCCCTCTTGGGGGGGTGTATTTCTTCCCGGCCACGTGCAAGTGGAGAAGCGCGGGAGGCGAACCCGCAATCAGAGGCAGCGAGCTCTGGCACTTGTCGGTGAGACCCCATTTCACTTGTCGCAAGCAGATACCAGCGGCAATCCACACTGAGACCCCATTTCGTTAGCCATAACGCTGGGGTCACTGCGCGCAGGACAGCGAAGTACGACAATGGACAGTGTTTTTGCCCAGCGGCCCCGCGGGAGGTGAAGTCGGAGCCCGACGTCATCAATCACATTGCTGGGATTCGCGCGTGCGGGAATGTGATCAGCTATATACAATGACGAAGCGCCATTACTACAGCGCCAGGATCTGCTTGTGCGGAAAGGGTAAGCCTCAGCAGCAAGCACTGGCGATGCTGCTCAGCGTGATGTGGAAGGCAACGCTCAAGGAGACGTGGGAGGTGAACTGGGGCCCGCCGTCGCCGGCCACGTTGGGGTGAAAGCTCTGGCAATGTTCGGGGGCACATGGGAGACGATACCCAAGCCGAACGTCACCAGCTGCAGCGCTGGTACCGGCGCGTGCACGGCAGGCCGGTTGTCCCAATGGGCTCTGGCGCTGCCCAGCGGGATGTTCAGGGCGAAGTTGGAACCCGATGGCAACGCCGAAGCCCGCGATCATCAGCTACAGTGCTGGATCAGCACGTGTGGGGAAGTCCTCAGATACAGCGATGGTGTGATAAAGATGGCTAGCGCGTGTGAAAAAGACGGGGACCGGCTA